TATGAAATTGTTTTATATGATTAATTTGTTTCAAATAATTCATTTTATGGTGGAAATGTTTCATATATTTTTGTTTCTATGTAAAAATTGAATTGTTTCATGTACTCGTGCAATGCAACGAGATAAATCTCGATTTTAATGTTTAGCTTTTATTATTTGTCTCTATCGATATAATACGATTTTATATAGTTTTGTGAAAAACGATAATATTTTTATTTTTGAATGAAATATAAATTTGAAGATAGCATAAAATTTTGAAAAAGAAATAAATCGATATTAGAATCAAATTAATTATTTAATAGTTCTCGTTTTTTTGGTGTGACTTCTTTAATTCAATTTTTTATTATAATTTAAATTTAATTTAATAACAAAGTAATTTATTTTTAGTTTAACAATATAATTCTTTAGAATTCAATTATTATCCTAATTATATTTTAGATTTTTTATATTTAAAATGAGATGTTTATCATGTATTGGATTATGTATATCTGCAGTTAGTTACACGAATTCAGATATGGAGTTTTAATAAGTTGTACTTACGCACAATTTACTTGTAATCTTGAGTTTTAAGTAATATGCATTAATATACAGTACTTTACGCATAAAAAGTGGGTTTTAAGAGTTTTTTTGTCAAATGCTTTATTATATAGTATAGATATATGGTTCAAACGAGAACCCCTGTGATTTACGAAAACGCAAGAACAACCTATTAACCTCATATTGTGATAATAATAAAAATTAAAAGATTTTTTAAATTAAAATTGAAGTTAAAACAATTCAAATAAATTTGAGAGGCAAAAGAGTAATATTGGAATTCAAAGTGATAAAATTTTAAAAACACGATCGCACTAAACCCAATAATTTGGATAACATAATGGGCTATTATGGTTATCGTTTATTTCAACATGATTTGGTGTGATTTGGGTGTGATAATCATGTGATTATCACACAATTATCACAAGGATTCCGCTCACTTAGGAAATCGGTTACCGATTTGATGTGATATGGGTGTGATATCACTATCATAACAGCGCACTCAATTTGATCATGGTTTCGATCGGTTAGGGCTAGACACTTACACATTTATCACAATGATTACTCATGGTTTCGATCGGTTAGTGATAGACACTTACACATTTATCACAACGATTACTCATGGTTTTGATAGGTTAGGATTAGATAATCACACAATTATCACAACGATTACAGGCGAAATCCATTAAACGATTTGGCGTGATATGAGTGTGATAATCATGTGATATCACTATTATAACATCACTTGTGCACTCAATTTGATCATGGTTTCGACGGTTAGGTTTAAACAATCACATATTTATCACGATGATTACTCATGGTTTCGATAGGCTATGGTTACACTCGATTGATTATGGTTTCGATAGTTTATGGTTACACAATCACACAATCATCACAAGGAAAGAGAAGCGAATGGAAACGAACGTGATCAATCCAGGAAAAAAAAATGAAATTATAATTAATTAAAATAAAATAAAAATTATAAAAATTACTTAATTACATTACTACCCTTATTAATTTATTTATATTTAATATAAGTTAATTTATTAATTAAAAAAGTTTGAGGTTATTGGGTTGTTCTCACGTTCTTGTAAATCACAAGGGTTTTCGTTTGAACCTCCACCTATATATATCTATACTATATTATAAAGCATTTGGCTAAAACTCTTAAAAACTCTTAAAACTCTTAAAAACTCTTAAAACTCTTAAAAACTCTTAAACTCGTTCATTCCTAAACGATTTCATCC